ATGTACTATTCTATTTGTGTATGCAATAATTAATGCATAGATTGTAATGTTAAATTTAACTAAAATGAGTAAAGAACAAGTATTTATTTATAAATTGTATCAAAATCTGATGTTAACTAAATGAGTAACATCCCAGTCTCTGGAATATTTTACGGCTTACCAAAATCACACTGTCATGAACACAATTAATATGTGTATGTTGATACCTCGTTTTGTACATTGGCATTTGATTTTATAATTGCTTTTGGCAGACATCTAAATATCTATGTCGAAGATTTTATGGGCTGTCTAATTCTTTTTTGTGAGCAGTCCATTTCTTACTAGCAACATTGTTATTTGTCACAATTTTCATTGAAGTTTTAAAATTGTCCTCACATTTATTATCAATCAACATAATGCAATGTGAACCTTTTTAATCTCTAGGAATTCGGGGGTAGAGGTTATATGGTTCAGCCAACTTTGTAGATGAGTTCGGCCATTCTAACGTCTCTATTATTTGAATTATCACCAGATTTGTAGTTCGTAAATAAATTTTTAACTTTGAAGCTAATCACATATTTAGATTTGATGGAAATAGATCTGTTTGGATATCGGTGTGTTCCACCGGAGATCCCCACTTATAGCAGTAAAGAATGACCACCGAGGGGGTTTTAGTAGGTATAACCCTACATAACCATATCCCAATCCGGGAACAAGGTATCTTTATTAAGATTTCACCCGCGAATAAAAAGGATCTGTTTGTATATAGTTGAATACTCGATACCCTCTATTTGCGACTATGGTAAACTTGTCCTTGTGTTTAAATGATATAAAATTTAAAAACTTAAAAAAATATGATATAAACTTAACAAATATAAAAACTGGTTGGAGGTAGATTGAGTCAAGTGATTCAGCTTTCTTCAAGCGTCTTTGAGCAACTTTTTCAATTTCTTTTTTTAAAAGTTCTTTTTTCAAATCTACAGTTTCTCCTGCTTTCCTTTTCTTTGGAACTGCAGCGGGAATTCGTTTTGTAGACTCTTGAAGTGGCCAGCCCGGGAGAGAATGTGTGTTATCTCTTCTCCAACAACTTCAATTTCAATGCCCATGTTTCTATTCTTTTTGTTTTCCCAATATATGGTATTATAATTAATTATTTAACGGCTTACTAACGTCATACTTTTTTCCGGTGATGGCACCGACCAGTTTCAGACCCTGCGAGGTCCTTCTTTAGGGCGAGGGTTAAAGATGTTGTATCGCGGTCGTAACGCCTCGCACTGATGGCTGATAATGACTGATAATTTAATATGATATCATTATCATTTTCTTGATCAATTAATTGTCATTAGTTATAAAAATTAAGAATGGTAGTAGAATAATATGTACCTACAAATAAATGACAATCATTTCTGATTTTGAATGACTATATAATTTACTTACCTAATTGGGAAGTACTGGTCTGGTTTACATCACTGTCTATTTCTATATTTATTGAAGGCATCACGCTGGGGATTATTGCAAGGACCTGGCTATCTTGTGATCCTATAGCGGGAGGTGCAGGCCCACCACCAGTCAATTTTTTGGGCATCCAACGTTTTAGCGTCCCTTGCCTTAGTTTTTAGATTTTGCCACATTTTTTTAACTGCTACACTCGTCTAAACATAAAACAAATGATTTAATCGTGAGTTACTAACAGGTATCAAAATAACTCGTTACTTAAATTTTATTACAACTTTTTTTCTTTAACTTTGTTGACGTATGGTTAATCTATTTTGTGTACAAAATAAATAAATGGACTAAATTAAACTTTTACTTACAGACTGTCACGTGACATAACTCCTACTTTTAATTTTTTGCAACATTGTCGTGACGCAAGCTTGAAGTTCTAAAGTCTTGTGGTGGTAGGTGGTGATGGTGTCGCTGGTGGTCTTGTGGTGACGGTGCAGATTCATATAATGCGACCGTTATTCTTCAAACCGACTTATTTTACATCAAACACACTAAGTCCATAATACAATAACAAATAAAAAGAAGAAGGAGAATATTAGGGGGACCGGAAAGTAATGTCGTTTTCTTACGCTAAATGTTTGTATTTATACATACATTTTTAACGAGTCTTTATTTTTAATCAATGATGTATTCCCCATCATTGTCAATAACCTTTTGCCATCTAGTGAGTAAATTTTCAATCCCTGATCGATAAAAATTAATTGGTTTTTCGGCAAAATATCTAGAGATGGCATTTTGGATATCATCCAAATTTGCAAATGTTTTGCCACTTAAAAAGTGTTGCAGCGCTCGGAATAAGTGGAAATCCGATGGTGCAACATCGGGCGAATATGGTGGATGAGGCAGCACCTCCCACCCCAATTCATTAATTTTTTCTAGAGTTCGCCTTGCGCAGTGCGGTCTTGCATTGTCATGTTGGAGAATGACGCCTTTTCGGTTGACAATCGCTGGCCACTTTTCAATTAAAGATTGATTGACTCGCTGCAATTGTTCGCTGTAGAGGTCTGCAGTAACAGTTTGTCCAGGTTTCAGTAATTCAAAATGAACAATGCCGCGAATACTCCACCAAACACACAAAAGCGCTTTTTTGGGGTGTAAACCTGGCTTAGCAGTACTCCGAGGGATTTCATTTGGAGAGAGCCACTGCCTTTTGCGTTTTGGGTTATCATACAGGACCCATTTCTCATCTCCTGTGATCAAGCGATCAAAAAACGCTTCTGTGTTGTGTCGTTGAAGCAATAAGTTGCATGTGATTGATCGGTTAGCCTTATTCTGTTCGGACAGATTATGCGGGACCCAAACACCTGCTCTGCTTACCTTCCCAATCTGCTTCAAATGTTCTTGGATGGTCGACCAAGGTTTGTTGAGACTGTTTGACAATTCCTCGATCGTCTGACACGGATTTGCTTCCACTTCCGCCCTTAACACGTCGTTGTCTAACGCTGATGGTCTTCCTGATCGATACGAGTCGGAAAGATCAAAATTACCCGATTTGAACTTGGAAAACCACCTTTGGCATTTACGAATGTCCAGTGCATTTGGATAAACATCGCAAATGTTTTTGGTAGCAACTGTTGCGTTATTTCCCTTGCGAAACTCAAAGAGCATGCAATGCCGGATGTGTACCTCTTCTGGTATTTGGCTGGCCATTTTACCCAAAATTACAAAAAAAAATTGTAATTCAATTGTCTATAAGTAAAGAAATCACTATAACCTCACAATGTCTTTGGTACGCCTCTGAACAAAACAATGAGCTGACAAATGACAATCAAGTATTGGCATGCGCAGAAACGACATTACTTTCCGGTCCCCCTAATATACTCGGGCACTGCAGTCTGACTCAATTGGAGCTGGGCAGCGACTGTCCGTTGACTTAACACTTGTTGCAATAAGGCAACAACTTGAGCTGCTTTTCTGGCGTGGTATCCATGGTTTCACTAAAACTCGCGAGTGTAGTTTGTAAGTCTACAGCCAGTTTATACAATTAGTGTCATTTAGGTTATCATAGATATATCCTTCTTATTTTATGGGTTATGAACTTCAATAAATATAAAATTAAAAGTGCTACACACCTATTTCTGGTTCCTATAAAATTACTTCAACATTTGGATTCTCACTTTGATTTCCAGAAGTTTCAGTAATAGCTTCTTGAAATAAAATAAAAATGTATTAACACATTCAATATATATTGCAGAATAGCTCACATGTGGAAATCCAGCTTCTTTTATCTCCAAACCAGTAGCTGCCTGCACTCCAATTATCTGCACCCTTTCCTCCGGGTCAGTTAATAATAAATGGAGCGCTGGTCCACCACCAGTGACACTAGCAGCTCTATTAATTTTAGCACACTTTTTCTTACAATTGTTCTTATAATCACTCCACACCGTAAATTAGATTTTCTCAACAAGAAAGATAACAAAGTGTACAAAGTAGTTAGGTAGATTGAGTCAAGTGTTTCAGCTTTCTTCAAGCGTCTTTGAGCAACTTTTTCAATTTCTTTTTTTAAAAGTTCTTTTTTCAATTCTACAGTTTCTCCTGCTTTCCTTTTCTTTGGAACTGCAGCGGGAATTCGTTTTGTAGACTCTTGAGGTGGCCAGCCCGGGAGAGAATGTGTGTTATCTCTTCTCCAACAACTTCAATTTCAATGCCCATGTTTCTATTCTTTTTATTTTCCCATTACTTTTTTACGGTGACGGCACCGACCAGTTTCGGACTCTGCGGGGTTCCTTCTTCAGGGCGAGGGCTAAAGATGTTGTATCGCGGTCGTAACGCCTCGCACTGATGGCTGATAATGACTGATAATTTAATATGATATCATTATCATTTTCTTGATCAATTAATTGTCATTAGTTATAAAAATTAAGAATGGTAGTAGAATAATATGTACCTACAAATAAATGACAATCATTTCTGATTTTGAATGACTATATAATTTACTTACCTAATTGGGAAGTACTGGTCTGGTTTACATCACTGTCTATTTCTATATTTATTGAAGGCATCACGCTGGGGATTATTGCAAGGACCTGGCTATCTTGTGATCCTATAGCGGGAGGTGCAGGCCCACCACCAGTCCATTTTTTTGGGCATCCAACGTTTTAGCGTCCCTTGCCTTAGTTTTTAGGTTTTGCCACATTTTTTTAACTGCTACACTCGCCTAAAAATAAAACAAATGATTTAATCGTGAGTTACTAACAGGTATCAAAATAACTCGTTACTTATATTTTATTACAATTTTTTTTCTTTAACTCTGTTGACGTATGGTCAATCAATTTTGTGTACCAAATAAATAAATGAAGTAAATTAAACTTTGACTTACAGAATGTCACGTGACATAATTCCTACTTTTAATTTTTTGTAACATTGTCGTGACGCAAGCTTGAAGTTCTAAAGTCTTGTGGTGGTAGGTGGTGATGGTGTCGCTGGTGGCGAGCTGGTGACGGTGCAGATTGTACGTGTGTTATGTGTGTATGTGTGTTGTGTATGAATGTTAAGTGTAACTGTGGAGTGTTCTGGCAAAATGTATAAGGTTCCCACAGTCTCTTCGATAATTAAAGTGCCTAACTCTCCCTAAACTTTCATGTTTTAGACATTAAATATTTTTGCGTAATACAATTAAAGCACTACAGAACATCAGAGAATTAATGAAAACATACACAGTAATGTAAATTTGCAAAACTATAAATTTGTTTAAAATTGGAAAATTGGAAAAACAAATACTGTAGAGGGGGTGCGGGGCGACCGTTACGTGGACGATCACCGATTACATAAATGCGGGATTCTTTTTTTGTAGCTTGTATTGAAAGTCTGATTCTTCGTATTTATGTATTTATTTACTTAAATACCACAATTAACACTTTTAGGTCACGGACGAGCCCCCAAATTTTATGCGGGATTCTTTTTGTTAAGCTTCTAATGAAAGTCTTTTGGTCGTTGAGCGATTGGGATGTCGTCTTTGAGCACAATCTTTAATTCGATAGGCGCTTCCTTCTGCACCGGATTGTAGTCACCTACTAATTGACTGTCTTTTCCTTTTATGCTGTCATCCCTAATAGAATCTGAAATGTCAACATCACTCACACAACAATTCACGCTAGCCAACCACTCTTCAATCTTTTTTAGGTAGACTTTTTAACGATTTTTTCTCTGAATCGGAATCTTCTGAAATTTCAGTAAGCTCAATAGATGTATTAATATTGTTATTTCTTTTATTTCTCTTTGAATTATAACACTGATTGAATATTTGAATATATGGACGTCACAGCCATGTTATGCTTTAATAAAATATAGTCTTCATTACCTCTTATGTTTTCTTCCCATTTTCACAGAATACCTTACCAATATGGCCGTCGTGTCGTCGAGCTTATGCAACACCCTTATTTTGACATCCGACTACTATCCGATTATTAAAATAACAAGCAAAATTACGACATTTTAAAATCATGTCATATTTTAACTAATGTTTTGGATCACAATTACAAAGCTTATATCGCTATTTCAAATTATCACAAATGGTACTGATTTTATAGCACAGACTAACAACCTTCAAGAATACAGAATACGTCAAAGTAGTCAAAAAGCTAACAAATACAACAAGTATTACAACAAAAATCATTTTTTATAAATTTTGTAAGCAAGAAAAGAAATTATAGCAGCAATTACTACATGTCATTGCTGAATAGTAACTTCCATATTTTATTATATGCGACTGGTTTTCACTATCACGTATCTCGTTTTCTAAATTATCTAATTCATGTGCAGCTAATTTAAGAGATTCCAAATCCACATTAGACAAACTTATTGGAAACATGAGAAGATTCGTTAATTACATTATATTTGCAACAATCGTCTAGGGTTAAGTCAAACTTTAAACTTATTTGACTTGGTACATTAGAGTTGTAATTATTAGAAGAATATAATTGTAAGGTTTCAAAATAAGCTACACAGTTATTTTCAATTTTTAAAATGCCTGTTCCTTGTATATTATAGTCAGTTACATTATTTTCCCATATATCTTTATTTCTTATCTTCTATACAATACATTTTACATTACATTTGATATAAAAATAAAATAAAATATATTATATTATAAATATTAATAAATAGAGCACCACCGGCTGCGGAATCCGATAACTCAAGCAACCAGTGGTCAGGGCAGAGACAGGAACCTCCTCACTATGCGTGCGGTTTCTAAAATAACCGCCTTTTGGATCGGGCCCTTAATCCAACTGTCTAGCGAGAGCTTCTTGAGGTGTTGGTCGAAGCTCTTCGTTATCAGCCCGTGTACCATTATTACATTTCATAGTTAGTTTCTTAGGCTTAGATTGTACATAAATTGACCATAAATAACTTTAGAATCACAATTTTCGGGAAGTGACAATGTAACTCCAGTTGACTATGACTGCACAGTCGCAGGAATCCCAAAACGGGCAACCCATCCTGCTATAAAAGTTTCAGCAACCTCTTCTGCGGTAATGCCTGTCATTGGCCACGCCTCTGGCCACCGAGTGAATCTGTCTACGGCAGTAAGACAATATCGGTACCCTTTGTTAGATGGCATAGGGCCGATAATGTCCACATGGACGTGTCGGAAACGGTTTGTTGGCGTCGCAAATTTTCCTGTTGGTGTCCAGGTATGCCGCGACACCTTGCTGCGCTGGCATTCTATGCATTCCCGAGCCCATTTCCTGCAGTCTTTTCTTAAGGCTGGCCAAACGAAACGGTCAGCAACTAAGCGTGTTAAAATATTCGCTCCTGGGTGGCTAAGGTTATGTAGCTTGTTAAAATATTCACGTCGGAAAGAGGATGTTACAAAGGGTCGTGGTTTGCCTGTGGACATGCCGCAGATAAGGGAAAAATCAGAATTTGGTATGGAAACTTTTTGTAATTGTAACGATGAATTTTCGATGGCATATTTTATTTCTCGGTCGGAATCGTTGAACCTGTATCTAGAAAGCACAAGGGCTTGGTATTATAGTACGTTTTTAAGTAAACATGAGGTAAAGAAATTTTATTATTAAATTTATTTATATTTAATGAGATTTCGCGTGAACAATCCTTGGGCAAAAACTCGATTCATCATGAGTCAGAGGATTGTAATTATAATTTAAATGATCCTTAAATTCGTTAACCTGTGTTGGCATTTATTTAGGAACACAGTTTGAAAGACTCGTGGTCTCATTGTTTGCGCTAACCTGTTGTTTAATATGGAGAACGGGACCACAAAAGAAAACACTTAACTGTACTTTGCACTAATATATTTGAATATTTACATAGCGATCAATTCTGTGATATTTAGAAACAAAATGCCACTGACATGTAGAAAACGAACAACGCCATCTATTTACTAGCAGCTTAAACATAAACCGCCCACCAAGGACACACTCTGTCCTTCATTAAACAAGTTACTCATTAACTAACTTAGTATTAAACAATAACACATAACAATCTTACTAAACAAAACTTAAACAAAAGAAAATCCGCCCACCATGCAGCAATCTATTTGGTCAGGACACATACTCTACTTATTGGCCTTTTTATTAAACCATTGATTGTC